CCAATAAGACACATTTTTCTCCTTTTCATTTATTTCTCAGAATAATATTTCAACAACAAATACAAATATATTTGCTTAAGCAAAAAGACAACAGTTTAGCACTCTTATTCAAAATCGGTTCAAAAAAAAACCTACTTCTATTTTTTTTCACCTTTCCTGCAAAACCAAAAAAAAAAATAAAAAATAAAAAAAGAAACAACAGAGGCTTTTTAGCTCAAAAAAACCTAACATATCGTATCACAAAAGCAGCTTCTTACCCCAACCTTAACCTTACTCAAAAGTCAAAAGTCAGTAACTTTTTCAAAGTCAGTAACTCATACTCAAAAGTCAGTAGGTCAGTCAGTAAAAAAGTCAGTAACTCATACTCAAAAGTCAGTAACTTTTTCACAATAAACGAGGCTCCAAAATTGATTTAGTCAATTTTTGAAAATAAAATTTAACATTCTTAAAAAAAGACTTATTGTTTGAATTGCAAAAAATGTCTTACACTTAATCATCTGATAAATTTTCTTTCTTAGAAACTGACGAGATGTAACAAAAAAAACTACTTCAAATCTTTTCCTCACCTTTTCAACTCTTACACTCAACAAGTAATCAACGAGTTTTTGTTGTTTTGCTTTAAATCATCGATTTTCAAGTGACAAAAAACAAAATATAGAGAAAATGAAATTAAAAGTCAAAGAAAGAAAAAAAGAATGCCAAAACGAAGAGTTGTTATTGCTGTCGCTGTTACAGTCGTTACTGTTTTTGCCGTTGTTGATGGATATTTTTGTGTAGTAAATGCAGCAAAAAGCAAACAACTGAAAACGACATCAGAAGGCAATTCGCGAACGGTACTTTTAATGACAATTTGGCGTTTTTCAACCAATGAACAGTTCACCGCGTAATATCCGAACAGCCATTTTTAACCGTGTATATTTTCTCCTTTTCCTTCCCCTAACCACCTCCACTACCGTCACAAGAAAAAAAAAAAAAGTATTAAACGTTAGCGGTAATATAACTAAAAAAACTGCAGCTGCTGTTTTGCTATCGAAACTGTATCACGGATGACTTTATTCTTTTCTGCAACAATTTAAAAAATCCCACTTTTTGAAATCTCTTAAAACTTCAACAAACCAAATTTTATTAGCTGTGAAAGAAAAACTCGTTCAAAACTAAATCCCCCTTCATCTTAATAGCAATTTTCAAAAAAAAAAAGTTTTGTTATACTGCCTCTAAAGCCAATGTTAATTTTATCGGCCACAACAAAAACATCAAAAATAGTGCTGGTAAAAAGGCGTTTCACTTTTTTTTTTTAAAACAACCAAAAAAACTAATGTCTAAGAATATATCAAATTGCTTAGCAAACATTCGCTAAAATTATCTGCTCAGGATAAAACAAAACAACTATAATAGCAGAAAGCAAAAGAAAAAAAAAAATAATTTCAAAATAATTGTTTCAAAAACAAAAAAAAATCCACTTTTTTTCTTATTTGAAAGTATTGACATCCACATTAAAAAAGAAGACTTTATCTTACCTAAAAAACACTTTTTCTTGATTCAAAGTTACACAGCAGTTTCATATTTCAGTTTTTTCATCTCTCCCTTTTTCTGTACTGCTTAAGCAACATATAAATTGTTTGCACTGAGAATGAGGAAGGTGGCAAAGGCAACGATAAAAAAAAAAAAAAAAAAAAAAAAAGGGAAAAAAAAAAA